GGGGGGGGGGGGGGGCTGAGCCTGGGAGGAAGCGTGAACAGCAATGGGCTGTGTCTCCAACCCTCTGCAAAGAGAGTGGGGTGGGTGTGGCATAGAGCATCATGTCCACAGCCATCTAGAAACTGATGCCCAATGTGCTGTGCACACTGCAGTCCCAGCACTCGGGAGGCAGACAGCAGACTCACACATCTGAGGGAAAGGAGAAAAACATTAACCTACCTGGGCCAGGGCCATAGTGTTAGAACTGCAGGAGCTGGTCGGCTCTTCGCTGTTTCTCTACGGAAAACTGTGGGGTACAGAGAAGCAAAACTGGTATTCTTTTATTAAAAGAACTCATGAGTCCAGATGTGCCTAAAAGTTCCCAAATTAATTAATGTTAGTTAGTAAGAGCAGCTTTCCCCTCTCCCACCGCCATTCTTGCTTCTGAATCATTCCTCATTACTGTACCCATCCCCAAGCCCACCCGAGACCAGGGATTTCTACAGAAAGCCCTTGAGGCAACCAAACATGAGATGGGCATGGTGGGGGAGCCCAGGTTCCCCTAAAGGATTCTGACTGAGGTCAAACACCGCATCATAAACACAAAGAAACACACACACACATTGATAAATATAAAAAGAGCACTTGCTCTTGCAGAGGACCCAGGTTCAGTTCCCAGCACCCACACATCTATAACAGCACTCACAACATCTATAACGCCAGTCCCAGGAAATCTGACACCTTCTTCATACTTCCTCAGGCACCAGTCATGAATGTGGTTCAGGCAAAACACTTGCACACATAAAATAAACTCAAAGAAAAGCTGTCCCATCATGGGCAGCTGGCCGGCAGTCCTTGTTTGTCCATGGATAAAGCAAATGTACCACACTACTCCTGATTCCTGGACACAGGAGAGGAGGAAAGCCGGAATTATTGTAACAGATAGCGGACCATACCGAACCCTTAACTACACTGCCAAGTACTACCTTCGGGTTTTACAATGCTTTTCTTCTTTGTTTCGGGGAGGGGAGCTGTCGCTGTCACACTGAGGACAGCATCTAAGGCTTTAGATACGGCAGGCCAACAGCATACCACATCCCCAGCCCTCAGTTAACACATCTACTCAGAGCTACCCTATATAGTAGGCCTCGTCTTTCACATGAGGGAACTACATACAGCGTGAAGGGCTAAATCAAACCAGGACAAAGCAGCAGGTTTCAGCGTCATACCCTAGCAATTCAGCTGCAGAACCCACACCACTGTTACTGCATTCCTCCCTAAGACACGAATCAGTGGCCTACGATGAGCTCACTCTGAAAACACGACCCAGCCAGGCGGTGGTGGTGCAGCACTTGGGAAGCAGAGGCAGGCGGATCTCTGTGAGTTCGAGGCCAGCCTGGTCTACAAGAGCAAGTTCCAGGACAGGCTCCAAAGCTACAGAGAAACCCTGTCTCAAAAAACCGAAGGAAAAAAAGAAAAAGAAAAGACGATCCCTCTCATCTTTCCTCTCCTCATGAGACTCAAAAGCAGAGGACTCTTGGGAGATGACTCGGGGTACAGTGCTTGCCTCCAACACACAAGGCCTTGGACTGGAACCCCAGCACTAGAAGCAGGGGTCCGAAAGCAAAAGACCCTGTTACCAAGCAAACTGGTTTACTCACAGACATCCTAACACAGCTGGGAAAATGCAGCTCCGGAGGGAAATGTCAGGCGGCACTGAACACTCATTCATCCCTTGTGTGAGTAAGCACTGGGAAGAGGGTGCAGAACCTGCCCTGTTCGTCACTGAGACAGAAGGCCAAAGCACCAGGTTAAGCGGTCACTTCGGGTGTTAAAGCTGGAGACGAACGGGGAAAAGCCTGTAGCCTGTTACAAAATCGTGACTGACAGACACACTGAGGACGGGAGCTGCACTGGAGCAATTAGAATGGGAGGGTGAGACGGGGCTGTGAGCCACTCCTGCCCCCACAAAGTGCTGTTGATAGCCCCAACTTGGTGTATGCTAGAATAGCTCTCTACCAGTGAGGTGCACAGCCAGCCCCCAGACAAAAGGCTTTGAAGGGGACCTGTGATGCAGGAGTTTGAAGGGCTGCCCCTGCTGAGATGGGATTAGAAGAGACACATATTAACTGAAGATCAATGCTATCGTGGCTGGGCATAGTGGCACGGTTGGCAGTGCAGCCTGGAGGTGAGGCAGGAAGATCACCCACAAATTCAAGGTCAGCTTGGGTTACATAGTGAATTCCTGGTCAGTATGGATGCAAACTGAGCCTCTGTAAAAAAAAAAAAAAAAAAAAAAAAAAACCCACTAAAAGTGCTATTTATAGGTAATAAGAGTGGTTTAGCAAATGAATCTTCCCCAATAATTAAAAACAAACTAGCAAAGCAAGCCTCAAGGGTAGGAAAGCTGCATCCTGAAACGCAGAGATGGATCCGCAGGCAAGACCCCAGACTGCTCCGCAGAGGACCCCCAGTTCCCTGCACCCACAAGACTGCAACTCCAGTTCCAGAATCCGACACCCTCCTCAGACACCAGTCACACAGTTCCCTGCACAGACGTAAAAGCAGGCAAAACACCAACGCATGAAAACAAAAATTTTAAAAATATATATATTTTAAAAGAAACCTGTGGGGCTGGAGACATGGCTCAACGGTTAGGAGCAGTGGCTGCTCTTGCAGAAGATCCAAGTTCAATTCCCAGCACACACATGGGAGGCTCACAAACATCTGTAACTCCAGTTCCTGGGAACAGGACACCTTCTTCTGGCTGCCACCGGCACCTGTACTCACATAAATATAAATAGGAGAAGTATAAATTTAAAAAGAACCCTGTAACCTCACAAAGAAGGGATGGGCCTGAATTTAACAACAGAGGCATAACCTATGAGTGATGGTTTCTATTAACTGCATGAATCCGTCCCTTCTCCCTGGACTAATTAACACCGAACTGCCCCTTCTTTTCAGGCCAAGCTGATTTTTACTCTTTCACAGTAAAGAGTAGTAAATGTCTCCGCTCGGAAAGATAAGGATTACAATTCATAGGAAAGAGAAAGTAACTTGGCTAATTTTTTTTTCCACATATATAACAGGAATGTTGAGTTTCTACGTAACGCAACGTTTCCTCCATCCATTTGACTCCCTCGCCTCCAGAAGAGGAACAAGATCTGGATGAAGGACGAAGGTGCTGGGCGACGCGGCCTCGGGACACACCCCCGCGACCAGTCACTCCCCCCCACCACTTCCACACACACAGCCTGCTGGAAACGGAAAGCCGCGGACAGAGAAACTTCTCGCCACCGGAGGGGCAAGCCTGAGAGGCGACGGCCACCCCGGGCAGCCTTAGGGGCGCGCGGACAAAGCCGCTCTGCCATTGCGGCTGTGTCGTTTTTTGTTCGGGGGGCCTTCACTCTGGGGCTCGCACACGTAACTCGGAGCCATGCTGGGCCTCTGAGCCCTGCAGCGGGAGGACGGAGGACACGGCGGGGCACCCGGTGTCCACTCAGCGTCACCGACGCCAAGTCTCTCAAACTAACGGAAAGCCAAATCCGCGCCGCCCCCTCTCCCATTTACTCAGTACCGGCGACCAACTCACCTCTCGCAACTGCCGGGCGCTAGGCAGCCGGAAAGATGCCGCGCGGAGGCCGGTGGGAAATGTAGTCTAACGTGGGAAAAGACTGGGTCGCCAGCCGCGGAGTGCGCAAGCGTGGTCGGGGTCGTGAGGGGGCGGAGGCCTCTGGGTGTGATCGAGGACCAACTGGAGGGGATGGGACATCCTCCTAACCCCCACCCCACTGAGCAGCCTGGCTCTTCGGGGTGGGTGGGGTTTGTGTTGTTGAACTACTGGGGTTAAGAACTTGCGCTCCCATCATCATAGGCTCAATATGTGAGATAATCAGAGTAGGTACTCAAAACACACATCCCAGTGAGGGCGTGTAGGCATATACCAGGACACTCAGTAAAAACATCCTCGGGGGAATGAAGAGATGGCTCAGCGTTAACAGCACTGCCCTCTCTCCCAGAGGACCTGGGTTCAGTTCTCAGCACCTACACGGCAGCTCACAACTGTCTGTAATTTCAGTTACACCTGACACCCTCACACAGACATACGTGCAGGCAAAACGCCAATGCGTATAGATTAAAAATAAGCTACTTTTAAAAGACATCCTCTAAAAGAGGCTCAGTGCGGTCTACCCATGGAAAGGTTGCTCAGGCTCCTCGGTGTTCTCCCTTTTCTTTCATCCCACTGTTCCTTCTAGCCATCCCTTCCGGCCAGTAAGTGTATTGTTGTATTGGTTGATATTGTTGGAGATGAAGTCAAGGCCTCACAACGACTAGAAGGAAAATTCTGCTTTTTTTCTAACATCTTTGTATTTGTGCCAGACCTCATGGCACAAATCCCAACTTCAGGAGGCTGAGGCAGGAAGACTGCAAATTCAAGATGAATAAAAATAAATACAATGAGGACATTATAAGCACTGGAGCTTACGACATGGCTTTGTAGTGGGCGCAGGAAGAGGTTCATGTGAGGTGGCCGTGACACCACCCTCGGGTCACAAAATCCCTTGCTTTCTCTTGTCTGACCTGGACACTCGCATTCCTACTCAGCTTACTTGGACAGTCCCACACCATTTATTTGACCAGGCTCTGGCCTCTCCCTTATTTTCTTTGTCTCTTCCTAAATGCAAGCTTATACAATATGTAGATGGTCTTCTCCTTTGCAGTACGTCCCTGCAAATTAACCAGGCAGACATCCCTACCTTATTAATCTTTCTGTCCAGCTGGGGGTCTAGGAGCTCACCCTCTAAGGCCCAGCTGTCCACTCCTTAGGTTTCATATCTGGGATTAGCTATCGCTGGAAGTTATAAGGCCATTACCCTAGCTAGAAAACACTTAATCCAGTCACTCACAGTCCCCACCACAAAGGATGAAATCCTGAAATCCTGTCCTTCCTAGGGAGGGCCAGCTTCTTACACTCTTGGATTCCTTCTTTCCCTCCTCTACCCACCCCAATATAAGGTGGCCCTCGGACCCTCACATGAACCTCTTTTTTTACCTGTTACCAAAGGATTTCATAGGCTCCAAAGCTTACAGACTGAAGCATGACTTTAAAAAAAATGGGGTTCAACCTGAAATGACTAAAAGCCCTCTTCACTTAGAGGAGGCAGCCTGGGGGTTTAACTGCTGCGCAGACTGGAACTGGTGTCTGACAGCAGCAATGCCATTGTTCTCACCCATCAGAAGAGCTTTTCTAGTCTTTTGATTAATATGGATTTAAGAAAACTGTGATATGTTAAATTGTGGATTTATTGTTAATTCCTATTCTAGAATTATGATATTGACCTGATAATGTTTGTAACTGTTTATAAGATGTAGAGGAAAGTTTGCCGCACCCTGTAAATGTTTGGATTTAATTCATGTGTTAAGAGTTCTAGATTTTGATACAGTATAAAATTGTTAAGAGGTGCTCTAGGCTGAGTGGTGGTGGCACAAGCCTTTAATCCAGTACTCAGGAGGCAAAGGCAGGCAGATCTTTGTGAGTTCGAAACCAACCTGATCTACAAGAGCTAGTTACAGCAGAGGCTCCAAAGCTACAGAGTAACCCTGTCTTGGAAAAAAAAAAAAAGAAAGAAAAGAAAAGAGATGCTCTAGACCAGATGAAGAAACATTTTCAACTCAGGTGACCCTACTCTCCTTTAAATAGGAGACTGTAGCTTTTAGGAGCATGATTATTCATAAAACATTATGATCTCTCCTGACTAGAAAGTATGGCTCCAAGACACAGAGCCCAAAGGTATTTCTGAAAGACCCTGGAAGAGGACCTTCCCTCGGGAGGAGACTCCCCGGAAGCCAAGGAACAGGCCGAGTCCACACTGATGCAAATAGCAAGAGGTTTATTGAGCGCCTGCCGACTGGAGGGCGGGCTTTTTATAGGAAAGAGCAAAAAGCAAGTTTACAGAAGCAGAAAAGCGTGGTTATCGGTTGGGCGGAATGAGGCAGGGGGGGTGCGGGAGGGGGGCATGAATGGTTTTCCTCTCCCAGCATGGTTGTCTGGCAATAGATATCCTGTTCTTACCTTATAGATATCCTGTTTTTCAGCCATCCTGCTTTGTGTCCTATCTTTATAGATATCCTGTTTTGCAATCATCCTATCTCGTAGACTTCCTGCTCTCCTAAGCAAATGTGATGTTCTCATGAGAGCAGGCTAGAATCTCTCAAGTAAACAGGACGTTCTCCCGGGGAGCATGCTAGCTGCGGGTTTTGAGGAGGGGGTCTGTAGGGTCTTTCATTTCTCTCCCTTAATCTCTTTTGTTTACAGAGATCAGCAGTCAGGGATTTAAAGCTTCTTCCCAGACGCCTAAGACAGAAGCTCACATAATTAAGATGCCTGTTTCTGAAGACGGGTAAATTTGGGTAAATGGGGAAGTCGGCCTAAGGCAGACATGATCATCTGTCCTGTTGCAGGAGCACAGGTTTTATTAAAATTAAAAAGAGGGAATGGATCTTAGGGCTGTATTATACAGGCCCATATTTCTACATTGTATGGTGGCGAAACTTTCAGGGCACAATTTACACCTGTCACACAGAAGGTGGTCACCTAGCCTTTTGAGACAAACTGCCACCATCCTAAACAAAGGGTCAGGATAAGCCAATATCACTCTGCTCCCACTTTGTAATTTGGGAAATTTCCTGGGGACAAGGTGTTAATTCAGTCTGCGTGACAGAGTAGCCCGCTACTCAGGAAACAGAATGTTAATGAACCTCCCCCTCAGTTTACCTTTTGATGTAAAAGCTGTTTGGATAATTAACGCAGGTGATCTTCAGAATTTGAATGAACCCTGAGACTCCCTCCTGATATTGCTGTGTGAACTGTGTCTCAATTATTCCCACACCTCCATGCTGGTCCAAAAGGTAACTTATGTCGGGCAGGACCACGACAGGTCACTAAAGCAAAACAGCCAGTCACTGGCTCTACCTCAGTCTCATTCTGAGATTCCTGGAGGCAGGATCACCATTTTGGGGCTGAGGTAGAGGTAAGAGCCAGTCTGAGTTTTTATCAGTTGTGCTTCAACAGCCAGGACTGCTCCTAAGGGGCTGAGGTTGTTGTTATAGCTATGAGGGAGAGCACAGGCAGAGACATCTGAAGGAGTTTGGGATAGAGGGGTGGGGTATGCCAGTCAAGCTGCCTCTGTAACAGGTTCTGGGGATACTGAGAGAAGCTGATGGACAGTGTCTGCTTTGATATGTTAACGGGGAGCTCAGCCTTTTTTATCTGTCTGAGTTTGAGACCAGTGTGGGCTACAGAGTGAATTCAAGGTCAGTGTATTAGGGTTCTCTAGCACACCAGAACTGATAAAATGAATATACATAAGATTTAATTATTTCTATTAGCAGCACATTCACACAGCCTAGAAGAAAGCACAGCAAGGTGCCAGGGGGCACCTGGCAATACTGACTTGGCATTTCTAGTAAAAGGGTTCCTTAGGAATGGTATGGAACAAACCCAAAGGAAATCCATTTACTCAATCAAGAATAGCACATGGTTATTTCCTTGATATTGGGAGCAGGAATGAATGCCTCCCAGCACCACGAGTACCAAGGTTTGCTTTGGAGGTTCTTTCCGGTGTAACAAATTTTAAAGATCAGTATAAGTATCCAGGAAAAATTGCACAAAATTTTATCTTTTTGCAGTTGACAAAGCTGACCGGAAACCACGTCCCTGGGGCGGGGAGGGCAGGGGAAGGCGTATTAAAAGGAGCGCTAAGCTCTCTAAATATTTTCATAGTGAAAGTTATAACTGTGCCCATATTTAAATTTTAAATGTACATTTTAATTAATGTGACAATCGTAAGTACAGATTTGAGTCACAAGGTAGCAGAAAACACTTCTCTAACTTAGATAAATTCTATCTGAAACTTGAGACCGGCTCTTAGACGATCTTGGCTCTCCTCAGACTTGCTAAGTAGCCAAAGTTGGCCTTTACTTCCTTTTGCTTCTTTCCAGAGTTTATCACCATTCCCAGCCTTGGGCTTTATTTTATTTTTCGAGACAGGTTTTCTCTGTGTAACAGCCCTGGGGGACTTTATTAGGAACAGACGATTCTGAGGCTGGAGGGAAGGCTTAGTGATTGAGAGCACTTACTGCTCTCGCAGAGAGGACACATATGGCGGTTTACAACTGTCTACAACTTCAGCTCCAGAGAACCTGAAGCCTTCTTCTGGTTCTGGTCTTCACAGGCACCAGGGACGTATGTGCCGCACATATACGTAGGCAAACCTTCATACATAAGTATTTTAAAAAGAAGATTACAATTCTGGGATGAATTTCTTTTTCCTTTTTTTAAATCAAATTTTTGAGACAGGGTTTCTCTGTGTAGCCCCGGCTGTCCTGGAACTTGCTTTGTAGACCAGGCTGGCCTTGAGCTCAGAGATCCACCTGCTTCTGCCTCCTGAGTGCTGGGATTACAGGTGTGCGCCACCATGCCTGGCCTCATGAATTTCTTTTATAAAGGAACGTGGAGAGGGGAGTGGTAGCTCATATCTGTATCCCGGCACCTGAGCGCTG